AATTTGGTCTTTTGGAAAGTCCGAGTGATTAGTCCTGTAAAGACCCTAGGGGTATCTGGTCCTGAGACCCTCACCCTGGGGTGCAGGACTCAAGGAGGCCAGGACGGGCCCTGGGAGTCTATGAACCTCTGAACATGCAGACACCATTCACTACACTCTGAGCTTTCATTAGTCTCAAAGGGCCCCCTGACCCACAAGGTTAAGAACCCCTGAGGTGACCAGCTAGTGGCAGAGCTGGATGGAACTCCCATAGTCCCTAGGGCACTAGTCTAGTACCCACAGTGATAACAGCAGTGACATCAAAGAGAGGCACTTGGGCAGAAAGCCCACCAGATTCCTGTGCTCTGTGCCCTCAGGGATTCCTAAATACGCCAAGGCCCAAGGAGGTGAATGGAGGCCTCTTCTTGGGCCCAGAAAATCCGCGCCTCTCACGCCCTGCACTGTCATCCAGAGGCCTGTAAGAGCAAAAGCTCTGAGCATTCTTGTAGCACAAACTGATGAGAAAGCTGACTAGGAAGCTCAATTCTGCCAGCCAAAGCTGAGAGACTTGGAAACACACCCAGCCCCACCACTGATTTCAGACAATCTGAGACTTCCCAGCCCTCGGCCAATAAGCATATGAAACCCACGACCAGGCCTGCAGTGATGGCATGCCTGAAGAGCTCCTCCGGGAGTCTAGGGCCATCTTTCCGATGAACCGATGGATCTCTCCTCTTCCAGGAAACTTCCTTGCTTAGCCTCCCCTTTTGGACACCCCTTAGCACTGTGGCACTAAGCCACCTTCCCCTGGTTTGTACTGTGCACCTGTTTCTCCCAGCAGCCTGAGGTCACCTACTGAGCAGCTCAGAACCTGGGCAGGTGGAACCATCATCAGAGAGGGTGGGACATTTGGAGAGACTGACGAGCTGACGGGAGTGCACCTCTGACATCACTCAAGGGCAGTTTATTGAATACACAGCAGAAATTCAGAGTCCTTAATTCAAACACAGTGGGACTAGGTGATGCCGTTCTTAGCAATATTTATGTCACACACCACGACTGCTGGCTGGGTGGTACCACCTAGAGACAAGATCAAGTCCACTCACTAGTCTCATGGCAATAGGAACTGAGAGTCAGAAGCCACCATAGGACCCAGGCCCAGAGAAAGAACCAAAGATAGATCACATCCTGACAAAAGGCAGCGTGGTTTTGCAGCCCTGATCAGAACCATGAACTTGACTCGCCCTCTGTTAAAGAGGCAGTGACATCCTGTGGAAGGAGCATGGACCCCTGAATCAGCCAGGCCTGAGCCGGCAAGTAGGTGGGTAACTGGGACACATTCTGCAGCCCTCAGAGCATCAGGCCCCTGTCTGCCCCAAGGATTGACTGTGCTTTCCTCAAGGATAGGCTGACTAGAGGCAGCACATGGAGGTTGCCTGGTGCACAGTAAGTGCTGTTGTGGACGTAACCATGGATTAAAAGGACGGTGAGTGGCTCAGGGACACAGGGGTGGAAAATCCCCAAGTCTCCTTCACTTGGCTTTGTGAATAGGGGTGCACCTTGAGGTCTGAGAATGTATACATTTTCTACTAAATAATAGTCATGCCATAAAGACCTTTCCAGAAGGGCAGGGACCGGAAGGCTGTCTTACTTCTCACCTTCAGGTCGCACAGCTCGGGGTTCACCCCACCATGCTGGCAGGGGTAGCAAAACCTATTGGACAATGGAGAACTTGACCTAAGCACAGAAGAAAATCTATCTTCCTCCCTCCCCCCGCCCCTCCCTGCTTGACCATTCCTTCCTTGGGCTGATCATGGCCTGGGCTTCCAAAGCCTCCTGCCAGCTGAAGGCAGTGGGGAAAGTGACAAAGTCCCCAGCTCTGCACAGGACCTACTGACACACAAGGGTGACCATTGATAAGCACTTGAAAGTAAGATGAGGTGTGATGTGGGTAGCTGAGTGAACTACAGACAGTCCTAGAATTCAGAGACAGAGGATTCAGGCATGACAGGCATCTTTGGCTCTGGCCAAGGCATCCTTTTCTTCCAGGTGCTGAGGTGAGCAGGGCAGTGGGCTTATCGGGTGGTCTTCCTGGCTGGGGTGCTGGCTGGGGCACTCTTGCCCTGGGACTCCTTGAGGTCTCCCGCTCGTGCCCCTGGGGTCTTGGTCTGGCTGCTTCTGGTGCTGCTGGCACCACCGGCCCCAAGGTCAGCACTCACGGAGCTAGGTTGGTGACCATAGTAACCGTAATGGCTGCTACTGATGACAGCTGAGGAGGAAGGGCCAAGAGCAGGGGAGGG